CCTCTTCGGACTGGCAGATCTCTTGTGGAGATCCTAAAGTGGTACCATGTGGCAGTTTCCTATTAACCTAATTTAACTCGATACAAGATACCTCGGCAACGGCTTAGGGAACGCGTTTTGAAATGGCGTGGTTTTAATCAGTAATAGTCTGATATCCACATTATCCACACAAGGCGGGAGGAGACATAGAATTTTACCCACAAAACAAACTCTCCCCTCAATTTTAGAGGTTATTTTTTCTTTAACTAATATTGGGGGCCCTTGCGATGGGACCTGAATTCTTAATCCGTCTCTGCCTACGTGGGTGTTATAGTGTCGGCTAAAGGCACTTAGGGTGACTGTAATGAGGTGACGGGTTAACAAAGTTACCATGTACTGTTCATTTATGTCAAACCCGGGCTACTTTTACACTGACATACAATACGGACTCTTCTTTTTGTACCTTAATGGAATTCTTTTCTTTATAAAATGTGTTATATTTCTTGAGTGGTACGGTTGAATGTCATGCTTTGTTTAGGGTTAAACTTAGTATTACGTAGGTGGATTATTTCAGTAAGAAGGAGGTCAGACTGATTTAATTTTTATTAGACGCCATATTTATTTTTCAATAAAATTGAATCTTTGGCGTCTTAAGCCTAAATAATGGATTGTAGGTAATTCTTTGCCAGAGTCTAAGTTGCTTTCATACATCATTACCTGAGTGTCTTTAAATACAGTTAATAAAAGGTACTTATGGGTAGACGTGTGCCACATCATGGGTCGTAACATTGCTTACTTGCAGGTGAATTTGTGGGAAAACTAGCCAACTCATTGTTTCGTTGAATGTCGGCTAATAGGAGGGTGAAACAATTTTTTTTTGTAATACCTTTAGTTTATTTCTAACGTTGTGCTGAATTATTAATTTCAATTCCACGCTCCACTTAACGTGGACCTAACTGGGTAATAATTAAAAGAGGTAGCGTTATTCATTTTTTTACTCAAACTGGGAATAACTTTTTGGCGTCATACAAAAACGATGTTACGTACGAGAGTCAAAACCGCGACAACTGCAAAAACAAGCAAAAGTGCATACGGTGCATAGCATTACTCCTGCTAAAAGCTATTAGCACTCTGTTGTCGAGAAGTGTAATCGCAGTGAGCAATGCATTACTTTATGCATTTCCATCTTCATTCCGAATTATAACATTGTATTAGTTTGGAAAATTACATCATATTACTTCTTTCACCCTAAGAAGGTGTGCCAAACTTGACAAGAGACGGACCTCTGAGTTTGTTTCGGCATTTTTTTCAGAGTAATCAGATAGGAAAAGCCAGCCTCATCTAGGTACATCCAGTTACATAAAATTATGACGTGTAAAAGTGATGTTTTGTGGCCTAATTACAAAAATTAATTCATTGTTTATTTGAAACCGACCCGTTTTTTCTCTTGCTTCGGGTCTTGGGTCGGGTCACGGTTCATTATTATACCTATGCTTTTTTTACCTTCAAAAAAGGTGTCTAGTTCCTGGGCGACGCTGATCTTACGCTCGGGTGATATGTATGGTAGTTTGTCAACATATCATATAAAAAATATTTTACATAAATTTAAGTAGACTTTCATCACGCCTATCAATCCCCGTAGGGTATAACCAGAAGGCCTTCTGATTCGAGGCACACGCCTTCTTATTGGTACAATCGAGCTTGGCTACAGAGTAATTACATATCACTTGTTGTTTTTGGTCGGTATTTAATTAGTCTGAAACTCCTTTTCACCCAAACAGTGTAGGCGAAGTGATTTGATGATTTTCCGCCCACCAAAAAGGGGCCTTTATCTGAGTGGAAGCCTTTCCTCATATGAAGAAGGCATAAGCGTGAATTATCACGTTTGTCCAAGGCGGATTAGCGATCTCTTAAAATCAGATATAATAAGTCTAGGCATTCTAACGATGGCGTTCCAGAAGTGTCTGAAGAATCTTAGAAAATATCTATAAAAGTTTGTAAGTTTGTATTTAGGGGGTAAACTTTGGAACCGCTGGTCGGATTTCTAAAATTCTTTCACTGATTGATAGCTACAATCTCCCTGAGTGCTATAGACTATAAAACATCACGCTAAGACTAAATGGAGCCGAGTAGCGGGTGAAACCGCGCGAGAGTAGCTAGTATACATATATAACTAGGAAAAAGTTGCACACGTAGTGTTTACTTAGAAGGTTTTCCACCAAATAATTAATCTTAATGACCCTTTAAATGTGAAATGACTCTGTTAGTGTCTGTAAGGGATCTGGGAGTCATGTACATTTGAAATTGTATGTTTGCAAATTACCCACCACACAGAAGAAAACATAACCGTTAAGCAAGTTAAAAAAAAAACACTTTTGTTTAAATAGCTTTGCTAGCTAAGTATAAAAATAAAAATCTCTTACCATTCATCCAACCACAGACTAAAGTAACCAAACAAATGAGAAGAATGTACTTACGAGCGCGCGTAATTCCATTACTTACTATGTATATTTAAATTTTTATTCCATTTTCAAAGTTCTCTGTTGTTTTACTTCGTAGAGGTTTCATTTAAAGTTTTGAATTAAGAATGGAATTATTTAAACGGCTTGACATTTTAACGTTTTTAATTCGTCCATTTTAAGAGCTAACGTTTATTTTTAGAAGGATGGTATTAAAACGGTCTTTTAGCGGTAAAATAGTGAATTTTCTGACATTTATTAAATAATATTTCTTACGAAGAGCATAGCGTCATAAGCAGAGTATCTGCAAGATAGCTAGCGGAGGTTGGTTGATATGAAGTGGTCAATAATCCAAGCTGAATAGCATTATATGGAAGAGGCCTATCTTAGCAGTGTACCTTCGGAAAGTGGCGATCTGATCTGATGGGCTCTAAATTATAATGAAAATTTCTGAGATGAGTTTTAAACAACCAACAATTGCCTTGTTGATAGAGATAGCCAAGTATAATGCTTTATTAATACTCTTCCCGAAGCCGTGGGCGCCAACTAAAGGACTAAAGGTGCAGAGGTGGCCAAGCAAGGTTATTGGAGATTCGAAATCCTCCTTAAACCCCCAAGGACGAAATCGAAGTGATAATTTCTTTGATGTTCTATACACAGCAGAATTTCTAACCAAGACATTTCAAAACATTTCGAACTTCGAGCCACCTGCCAATCCTTAGATTAAAACCCCTCTTCTGTAGAAGAAGGCCTTATTCAGCTTTGTTCTTTTCACGAGATGTTAATGTGATTGTGTACCCAAGTAACGACTGATATAATTAATGTCGTGGTTGCCCTGGGGTTGTTGTTTGGGGTCCATCCCACTCTAGTGAAAATCAAGGCAATTGTTTTTTCACGCCGGTTTTCTGTGTTGTCACGATTTTTTTTTTATTTTAAAAACATACACCTTATCCTTACAGGCTTGACCTAATGCGACAGTGGTTTACAAAAATGCTACAGATTGCTTTACTTACAACTATAAATTACAAAAATACTACCAAAATTGACACTCCAAAAAAAAGTAACCAATAAAACAAAAACGAGAAACTATACATATATAAAAAAAAACAAACAAACATGTTGTGGTGCCTCGTGGTATACCTTAATGAATTTTTTTTTTTTTTTACTATGTTATATTATCTTATTGCTTTTCCAGCCCTGGGTGGATCATCACCTCATCCTCTTACTAATTAATCCCTCTCTGTTCCTTCTCCTGGTGCGGCTAGAGCTCCTGTATATGTTTGCTATTGGCCCGCGACTCCGAATGGAACTTAGTATTTACCATGGATTTTATAAATAACCTTTATTTATAGGATTCTTGTATTACTTTTGTGTTGTGTATTAAATTTGGTTTTGTCTCAACCAATAGCAATTACCACGCGGGATTCAAAAGAGTTTAAGGGATCCGACATTTTACAGAGACCTGGTCTGGAGACCTGGCTTTCTTAAAACCTGTAAAGATTAAGCTGATCTCTTCAACCTACAATCTCCAACACATTTGTCAAGCCTGGAGATTTTATTACAAACTTTTTTTTATCCGTTTGTTAGGTCCAAGGGCTAATTGTTTACTTTAACAGGCTGTTGTTATGATATGATTTTAATATTTTTTTATGTATAGAACTTCTTCAGACGGACGCCTACAAACACTTAGCAATTATATATTAACGTTTAATACCTCCTTGAAACCACTTAGACAGACCTTTTTAAAAGAAATAAACAAGTCTCTTCAGTCAGCTCTCTATTAGAATTTTAGAAAATTTATTATTTTGAAGTATCTTAGTATCGTCTGTGTATTCGATTTAAGTATCTTAAGTACACATCATTGAACTATAAGCATGGACCTAGACGTATTAAGTGGTCTTAGAAGAAAAGTACCTAATTATAAGGTATTAATTTTTTTTATATTGATTTCAAAATTGTTTGTCAGAAAGAAAACAAAATACTTGAGAGTTAAATACCACCTGAAACATAAACAGATTATTCGGAATGATTTTATAATTGTTTTTTTTACGTACGTACCAGTTGAGTATTTTCATATTTTTTTTATTTTTTGTTTGAATTGTAGTAACTTTTATAATTTTAATTTTATATATGTATTATATTTTTTATAATTTGGGACTATAAAATAACGTTGTAATATTTTTATGTTTAAACGTAATTAATAAAATAAGTAATAAAATGGAATGATAAAAACATGTATACGATACGAAACTTTAGTACTTAACAAATAAATACACAATTTCTCTACACCCCATGGAACGATCAGTCCTCCTTAACATTATAAAAATGTCCCATATACTACGGCGTATTCCCATCACATAAAAATTGGACAGTGACGTATAATAACAGTAAATCTCGCGGGGACTTGTCTTACTGCTTACAAATCCCGCTTGATCACAACCAGGATAAAGGACGAAAAAAAGAGAAAGGTTGAGGTGCCCTCTCTGTCGGATATTCTACTCTCTGTCTCTGTCAGAGGAGGGGGCGGGCGCGCGGGGCGCGACTCAGTCGACTATCGCACTGCACGGTTGCTCGCCGTGCGGCTTAGTCGTTCGCTAACCACGGCAGGGGTACGTCGCGCCGCGTGATTTTTTCCCATCGATCGGCATCACATGTAAGTGAGATGGACGTGCTTCCGAGCGGTAACTTATTCCGCGAACTGCAAGATGTCACCGACACGGGGTACTTCGAGTGGAAGCTGTCGCTGGAGGACTACTGGCAACAGGTGAGTGCTGAGCGTCCTCCTCGCTCGCCGCAGCATGCTGAGCGACCGGTCTGCCGCCGCTGAGCGTAAATTGTTTAACAATTCCTCCGTCCCGTGTGACATGACAGTTCGGAATGGATTCGCGCCTGCGTATTGAAGCGCCGGTCTGTTTTCAGAGGTTAACTTGTGAAAACTTCGTTCCGTTTACATTAAGGCTCTGCGTTATATTAAATCGTTTGAGTTAAACATACCTTGTGCGGTTACGCCATGACTAAAAATAAAGTATGGAGAAGTAGCGGCCGATAGTTGTGCGTCCAGCGACGCGGTAAACTTGGACGTGAGTTTCGAATAAGTTTCGTAGAATCCGCGAGTGTGTTTCCGGGAAGTTTGTTGAATGCGTGGAGCGTGTTGTTGTTGTGATGTCCGATGAAGGGACGTTCACTCTCGTCGGGATCAATCGATATTATTCAGTTTCACTTTCCTTCGACTATATTTTATTCACGGCTGCATTCTTCGCGCGTTATTTATAGTTTGTTTACGTTATAACTTGTGTTTTGTTTTGTGTTGATAACTGTGCATTTTATCTGAGTTTTGTGTTGTTTATGTTTCTCGCCGGTTGCTTTACGATGCAACGCGATGCTTTAAAACTTTTTCTATGTAAAATGTGTTCTTTTTACGTTGATTTATTTTTTATTTTATATTGTGCGGCAACGTGCGATGTGTCATGGCGTGTAAATGGCAACTGTCAGGACACTAGCACTGACGCCGTCTACTAAGCTAATTTTATTATTTGTTGCCTATTGGCACGTTTATTTTCCTCGCTCACTGATTGATTATTATTTTATTTTGTTGATAATTTGCTCGAAACACGCGTTATATCTGTTAAATAATCCGATACTCGCAATTATACAAATGAACGGCCGGTGATAGAGAAAAACGGCGGGTACTTGTAATTATCACCTACCAAGGTACCCACATAGAATTCGTTGCGTCGCGTCCACGTTGTTTTAGAATGACAATTGTATAAAAATACAAGTTTGTAGGACTAACTCGTAATTTAATCAAACTGCGGCCATTGCGGCGGTTTATGGCTCGCCCAGCTCCTAAGCTAAGCTTTACCGAGATGGTGAGGTAAAATACCAGAAAAAAAAATGTATTGATGTCATCCCGTTTTATATTTTTCCTCATAATAGGCTGCGGATGGTCATAAAACTGATATTTATTAGCAACTGAATGAAGCACCCTGCAACTTTTGAAGAATGGATGAGAATAATAAATCAAGAGGACGAGACACAAGAAGAAACAAAAAAGTATTGGATGTTCAAAGTTCTTTTCCCCCCAGGATCTTTCATTCCAGGTTGGAGACTCAGAGACAGCGGAGAAAGGAATGCTCACTTGTAATGCGCACTGATAGCCATACGTAATATCATAACTAATGGCTTCCTGTTATAACAAAAAGTTACTAGTCATACGGAATATAGTCACAGAGTCTTAAGCCACAATATTATTTTATAAGTATAATATAATTCAGAATTCGAAGTTCACCATCAGTTGCCAAATCTACCCACTGAAAAATTAACATTAATCGAGGGATAATATTAGTCTAATTACGGCTAGAATTTACATTTTCAAAGTCTTATTAGAATAATGTTTTACTTTTTAACCGACTTCAAAAAAGGAGGAGGTTCTCAATTCGACGAGTATTTTTTTTTTTTTTTTTTATGTATGTACACCGATTACTCGAAGACGCCTGGACCGATTTGCAAAATTCTTTTTTTATTCGATAGGGTATACTTGCCATATGGTCCCATTGTCATGAGATCAGGATCTGATGATGGAATCCTGGAGAAACCGAGGGGAACTTTCGACGTACGTAACGTATTGGCGAGCACTTTGCAGCAGGCTTGGTCGTAATTGTCATTAAGGGTCTGATGATGAGAACGAAGGACAGCTCAGGGAACTCCTGAACGGTTTACAGTAACTACTTCGTATTTGAACTTAATTCATTTATATTGATGAAAACTTTGTACCTGTAGGTATGTATCATAACAACTGAAGGTCTGCAGTTTACCTGATGATGGAGACCATTGATAGTCTAGGGAACTCCTCAACGGTTTACAGTAGCTACCTCGTGTTTGGACTTAATTAACATAAAAAAGGCTGGTGATGATGATGATGATGATGATGAGAATTTTCCCATTTCTTGGGAATTATATTTTTTAATCGAGCGGCTCCTTCGTAGGCCTACACATAGCTACTTAAAAAATATATATACTATTCAGTATGTTAATTTATATTTAAAATGTTACTGTAGTTTACAGAAGAACTTATAACAGAAACTAAAAAGTAAAAAATAAAAAAAACTACGTTTAAAAAAACCGACTTCAAAAACCAAAAAGTTTCAAATAATTAAAATAGATATTTTAATACCATTCTTACATACGCGAAGCTAATACTTTTAATATTAATAATAAAACACTATGAATTCTATGTGCTACCTATTTATAGGTTTGAAGTCGGTGCCAAGCCCTAAACAGAATAAAAATAAATGAGAATTAAGACTGTTTAACTGCTAAAAGACGAAATTTCCACAACCAACAACGAAGGTATCTAATACTACTTTTAACAACCAAGTACGAGAAAACTTTCAGAATTCATAATTCACCCAAATATGTTTCTAAGCTATACATATATAATTTCGCCGGTAACAAAACCATATAGACTTCTGATTCTACGCTAACGCCATCTAGTAAGAAAATCGGTACTAAATTTCTAAAATCCTAACAAATAAATTCACACGCACCCGACGAGTTTAGGTACTCATGTATCATGCTTATTATATTATACTATATGTATATTAGGCTTGGCACCGACTTCAAACCTATAAATAGGTAGCACATAGAATTCATAGTGTTTTATTATTAATATTAAAAGTATTAGCTTCGCGTATGTAAGAATGGTATTAAAATATCTATTTTAATTATTTGAAACTTTTTTGTTTTTGAAGTCGGTTTTTTTAAACGTAGTTTTTTTTTATATAACATCACAACTAAATACCTAAACTGTGATAAAAATTAAACAGTCAAAAGTTCATAATATTATAAAGGTGTTAGCAAAAATGCACCTTAATTAAAAGCTAATTAAATTGAAAATAATCACATCACTACCGGAAGGATAACTGTAGTCAGGTGCGATAATCACGTCCCATCTGGCATAAAGCTATCATCACCTGTTTTGAAAGAGGGGTGAAGTTATTTTTAAGTCTGACACTGACTCAAAGAGAACTTAAGAAAGCATTTGTTAACTCATACAAGACAATTCAATTATTACGTGGAAGATAAAGAAGTATAAGGACTGTAGTAGCTCTGTAAAATATGCCTGTTATGGAACAGAGATATGATCATACATACCAAACAAACAATTTGAAAAAAGGAAAACGATACTAGATATTTAGTTACGTGGCAGAATTAATGTATCAAAGTCCTCACAAGAAATTCTGAACAAAACAGAAATAATCCAAGAACTTGATAGTACTCGAATGACATAATAATTTCTTTGAAACATGTTGTTGCAGATATCTATGAGTTATCTTTATTATTCTTACCTTATCACGGTTACGTTAAAAGGCTACGTTTGTAGTGTATATCAATATAAAATTGATACCTATTCTCTTGTCACACCGATTACAATTTTGAATTAAATAACATTTGATAGGTATAGGTACCTAATCAATTCTTTCTATAAACAGGTTATCTTAATTCTAGAAATCAATTGGCACTGATAAAGATTCCGTAGAAAGTTTTTACCTATCATTTTCTTCTTTGAATTTTATTAGCTTGTGTCCGTCAGCTTATAGTGAGGAGAGTTTTTAAAATACGATAAAGCGATCTTCAATTTTTTCTGTTGCAATTTCACCAAATACTTAGAAAAAAAAAATTGATCTAAAAATTCTGAATTTAAGAAATTAATTATTTTTTATTTTACAATTACGTTAATAAATACGTAACTTTTATTTTTTAAAGTAACTATCGTGATCCATACTATGTTTATTGAAAATTTAGATGAAACTATGCAACCCATCGAGCATTTTTCAAAATTAAATTCTATTTTAAATGCCTGACGTACTAAATTTGAAATAATCTTTATAATATAAAAAAAAAGCGGCGGTCAAAGGAAAAACTAACTAATGTGCCATTTATTTAAGTCAACTTTAGCGAAACACCGTCTAAATTGCTGTAGTATTTCAACAAGCATTTTCAATATAATTTACACGAGAACACTGCAATAAATGAGCAAGTTGAGCAAGTATGCACTTTAGAGATTCAGCTTTAAGGAGTAATTTACTACAACTATTTTGACTTGAGGAGTGCCCCAAAAACGGAATTTAATTTTAAGGTGTTTTTTTGTAAATAATCTGGATTAAGATGCGAATGTTTTGACTAATTTTGCATAACATTGCTTACCGCTATACAACATTTTTTTCAAGGGGTTTTTAACAAGTATTTTATTTATTTATTTATTAATCATCCTTAACACTAACATTACAGACAAATCCAATGCGTTAGTGAGGCATTTAACTAAATAAAACATTATAAAAATACAATTAAAAACATAAACAGGCACACACCCTTCTTGGTTAATAAAAAAGACATACAAAAACAATAAAATAAAAAAGTATGCTATTACAGCACCATCATACCCTAAACATACATTTCCATAACGATTACAATCAGTTAAATATTACGTACTGCTGCATTAGGTATTTAAAGGCTCTTTCAATATACATGCTAGTGAAAAAAGATCCCAAATCATAAATGGTCATCTCATTAATATCAAGTACAAAATACCTACTAGAGTCTAATGGTTTTAATAGGAATGGACCCTAACGACATGCGATCTTCAGTTCACCAGGCAAACAATTGGCTGCAGAAAGCTATTATTATAACCAAAATAATATGACCCATAAATGTACGGAAGACCAAACAAACTGAGACCATCACAAACAGGTTTATGTTGCTGAA